TGAATTATTTTTGGTATATATACTACATTCTCTTGTGTAATTTAGTTACAGTGTAAAACTAGTCCATTATGTCTCAAAATAAAAGGGAGATCAAAAATCCAATTAGTGCCATGTAAATTCTGGAATCCCCAAAGACCTTTCCCATTGTATTTATTAAACAAATTTATATAGCTACCCAATTCATATACAGTGACTTTATCACTTTTGTCGTCCTTTCATGTAGTTCTCAATGTGTCAATCTCCTTGCTACTCTATTTCCTCCACCAAAATTCTACTATAAATAATATTACCACACATTACAGCTCTAATTTTGTGTATTTCCGCCAGTAATTTTCAGTAAAAGATTTATTCCTCTCTTACATAGTTATTTAGAAGTAGCTTCATATGTCAGTATACTTTTACCATTAAAAAAAATGTTTTGTTGCATTATATGACTGCAAAAGCCTTTTAGCAGTTTCATGTAACAGGAAATATCCAGTTACAATTTTGAAAGTAGTTGTCATAGCCACAAACACCCTCCTCCCAAAAAGACAGAGAAAGAGAGAGAGAAAGAAAGAAGAAGGAAGGGAGGGAGAGAGAGAGAAAAAACTCTGTGCTATTATTTTTAATTGTTCCATTATTTATCATGTGTTAATATTTTACACTGTCCCTACACTTAGAATGATTTTACTGCCTTTCTTTTGCCTTTGCCTTTCAATTACATGCAAATGTAATTGTGCCCATTAAGACTTTATGAAAAGCTGAAACTTACTTAGGTATCACCAGCATAAGACAAGAAATAAGATAGCAATTAGGATTCTGTTTTGCAATCCTGTTTCTACTTTATTTAAATTAGGTTTGACATAAAGACTGTAATACCTTGTTTTGTCGGCTGGCCAAGATTGTGAAATAACAATCTATTTCACAAGATTGTGAAATAGCTGATATTTTTCAGCTTTTAAAAGTTAGTGATATAAATATTTCCATCTACCAAAGTTGGTATTAACATTCTAAAATATTTTGTTTGAATAACCGATGCCACTATATGTAACACACTCTCATATTGAAATTGATACTATTTAATCCAGCACTAGTCAATATCAGAGTATGGTAGGTATCAGAGAATGAATTGATACCTGGTTATCCAGAAAGTACTCTTCTACAAAAACAAATAGATTAACATATATCTGATAATTCCATCTGTGTTGTCATTAACATTGCTCTATGAATAAGGTTCATATTCAGCCTCGGTCACAAAGCTTACTGGATAAAATAAAAATAAATCTGATAAATTTTCAAAAATCAGTGGGAAAACATCTCCACTCCCAAAATCATTTATCTATTGATCTTAAATTAGCCATTCTTGAGCAAAGGAATTTAAAAAGAAAAGTCCAACATGAAGTTACAAAATTGCAGTTTATCACGATCTTTAGCTCCTGGATAAATTTTTAATTCCACTACAGATCTTAATTAGCATACAAATGCCAGGGTATCTATGTTGTCATTGATATAGCTCTTTAAATAAGGTTCATATTCAGCCTTAGTCACAAAGCTTGCTGCGTAAAGTCAGGCCAGAGAGACAAGGTGGGCATAACAGTTAAGGTGTAGGGCTGGCACCACGGGCAGTCGGGTTTAAATCTACTTTTAATCGTGGAAGCTCACTGAGTGACTTTAGACCCATCGTGCTTTCTCAGTCCAACCTGTCTTATAGAGTTGTGATTGTGAAGAAAAAGGAATAGAGAACGCTATGCACACTGCTCCATGGTATCTACACAATTCTGTCCCTTAGAATTACCACTACCATCATTTACATTGCCATAGTTCTTATTCTTCCAGAGCAGACTCTATTTTAAAGAATGAACCCAGTAGACAGCATAATGCTTATGTGTCTGTCACTTCTCTATCCAACCAAGACATTAATCTTTGCAGGTTGCCTAATTCTGTCCTTTTATCCCACCTGTGACTGAAGATTAATGCTATTCTTGGTAATTTCCACTGTTAATTGTGTTAATGTTATTAATTTTATTAACATTATTGTGTTTTATGCTAACTTTTTAATAATAATTTTATGTGTGTGTGTTTCTACATAGTACTTTTTAGATTAAAGGCCATAATAAAGATTTTGGGGAGGTTGTTTGTTTGTTTATAGGCGACAACCCACATCATGGATTGTTTCTGAAGGGCTATGGTTTTTAGTACAGCTAGTGTTGCAGAGATGTTAATAAAGAATACCGTTGCTTACCTATAACTTCTCATGCCACTGCATTTTGGACCAGCTGAAGCTTCTAAATGTTTTCAAGAGCAACCCTTCGAACAACACATTGCAATAGTCCCAAATGCAAGGTGATGAAGACAAAATTAATTGTGAGAAGAGCCTTCAATTTAGGAATGAGTACAATTGGTGCCTGAAATGAATGTTCTTGGTCACAAATGCCACTTCCTCTTTGATCAAGTCCAGGAAGAGTCCCAAACTGCTATAATGAGCAGAAGTAATAACTGACAAACAAAAGGAAAATATGCAATCGAAAGTATTTGTTGTTGTTAGTTGCGACGTCATGTCCGATCCATCGCAACCCCATGGACAACATTCCTCCAGGCCTTCCTGTCCTCTACCATCCTCTGGAGTCCATTTAAGCTCACGCCAACTGCTTCAGTGACTCCATCCAGCCACCTCATTCTCTGTCGTCCCCTTCGTCTTTTGCCCTCAATCTTTCCCAGCATTAGGCTCTTCTCCAGTGAGTCCTTCCTTCTGATTAGGTGGCCAAAGTATTTGAGTTTCATCTTCAGGATCTGACCTTCTAAAGAGCAGTCAGGGTTGATCTCCTCTAGGACTGACCGGTTTGATCGCCTTGCAGTCCAAGGGACTCATAGGAGTCTTCTCCAGCACCATAGTTCAAAGGCCTCAATTCTTTGGTGCTCAGCCTTTCTTTTTTAATATATATATATGTATGTATGTATGTATGTATGTATGTATGTATGTATGTATTTATTTATTTATTTTAGACAAACAAACATTTAATACATCAGTTTTCTTTTCCCTTTGACATCTCAGTGTTATCTTCCAAAGTTCTTTCTTTTTCTGTATATTTGTCATTACTTCTATCTTGATCCTTATCCAGTCCACAATATCAATTCATCACTAACATAATATTCAACTCATCACATATTTTTACATACTTATATAATTAATCATTTATATCTCTTCTCCAACCAATAGTAAAAATCATTCCATATTTTAAAATATTCTGAGTCTTCTCTATCTTTAATCATCAAAGTTAATCTATTCATTTCTGCACAATCTAAGATTTTTTTTATTACTTCTTCTTCCAAAGGTATTTTCTCCACTTTCCAATTTTGTGCATTGACAATCCTTGCAGCTGTTATTACGTGTATTATCAGATAAATTTTTTCCTTGCTAATTTTTTCAGGTAGGATACCCAGTAGGAACAGCTCTGGTTTAAATTCAATACGTTGATGTATCATTTCCTCCAACCAAGTCTTAAGTTTATTCCAATAGTTTTTAGCTTCTGACATGTCCACCACATATGATAATATGATCCTGGTAGTTGATGACACTTCCAACATTTAGCTGATTTTTCTTTAAACATTTTTGCTAATTTCTCAGGTGGCCTATGCCATCTATAAAACATTTTATATTGATTTTCCTTATATGCAGTGGACACCGTTAATTTATAATCCTTTCCCATAGTTGTTGCCAGTTTTCCAAATCAATTGAATAGCCAAAGTTTCTTCCCCAAGCAATCATTGCTTCTTTTACTTGCTCCTCCTCTAATTCAATACTAAGCAAAAAATTATAATTTTTTAAATTAAATTATCATCTGTTCCCATGTTATCCAACTCAGTCTTTTCCATATAAAAACCATATAATTTAGCATCCTTCTCATAGGCGCTCAGCCTTTCTTATGGTCCAACTTTCACAGCCATACATTGCAACTGGGAACACCATAGCCTTGACTATACACACTTTTGTTGGTAGGGTGATGTCTCTGCTTTTTAGTATGCTGTCTAGATGTGCCATAGCTTTCCTCCCCAGGAGCAAGCTTCTTTTAATTTCTTAACTGCAGTCCCCATCTGCAGCAGGGGTGAAATCTAAAATTTTTTGCTACCGGTTCTGTGGTCATGGCTTAATTAGCGGGTGGGGTTTGGTAAGGTGACTGGGAAGGCGTGGCTTGTTGGTCAGGTGGGCGTGGCTAAGTCAATGTCACTTCTTTGTCCTTTTTTAACTTACAAAACACAACACAACACAACTGGCTCACCTGAGATGGACTCAGGATAAATAAGAGAAAATAAAAGGTGAATAAAAGAAATAATCATTCCAAGTCAGATATATAAAGTCAGATCAAATCCTATGAACTCTAAGCAACCTTTGAATGAGCTCATCTATTCACTTAAAGATACGTGCTGGCTAAAAGCAGCTGGACTGCCTTATTAGTCAAATATATCTTCTGATAAGGCTCAGCTGTCATCCAGCAGAAAAGTTAAGAATGGAGTTTGGTGAATAGAACTGAGCAATTAGTTCATGGATGTTCCCCTAATCACTTGACCTATGGCCCTGTGTCCAACTCTCTGATTCTATACATCTTCTTAACAGAATCAACTGTGAACATCTGGACGGATACAGGGGATGCAAAAAGTTATTTATTGTTTAAAAGTATAGTCATAATTTCTGCATTTACACATTACAGCTTTTAAGGAATAGTAGTAAAACATGAAGTGATGGGTTAGTTAAGGTATAATGGTTAAATCATGAAGTAGTGAAAATGTATAGCCAAAATAATTGTATTAAGTAGCATGTAATGGTTTGATAATTAGTAAAGTGTAATGTAAGTGAAATGTATTTTTAATGTAACCATATATGGAAGCCGGAAAAGACTCATGGGACTCTTTGTTTTGAAAACATATTTAAGTAATAGAAAAATGACCAATATTCATTCAGGTTGCAACTTTCAAACAAAGCCCTGAATCTTTGCGCAAATAAACAGATCTGTCTGACCCAGGAATGTGCTTCAGTTCTTTATTTCTACAACATTTTCTGGCGTTACCACGAAGGGACTGAGGAACAAAGACACTTGTTCTGCCTGACGGCTGCTCCCGGCAGGATTCGACGCCTTTCCAGGGAAACGTTCACAGGCCGGCCACAAAGACTCCATTGAAGTCTAAAAGAATCTTTCGCTGAGAAGACGCCGTGAGCCCTGCTGTGAAGAAGCAGACCAGTCAAGGATCCTCAGGTCAGACCAGATCCGTACCTTTCCACAGGTGGCCACCAGGACACGAAAAGCATCAGGCAAGTATAAGTAAAAAGGTTACCTACCCCTTTTGGGTGGAAGGGGGGGTGTGATTAACCCCCCAGGGAGCAAGGTGTCGTCCTAAAGCTCCCAGTGAGGAATTTCTTTGGCGTGGGTGGTTAAACCATTGCGGTTCCCATAGACGACTGTTGGAACGTCCAGCGTCGTGGGCCAGTGGTAGTGTTAGGATGGGTGGAAGTCTCAGTGTCCCACGGACACCGTTACAGTGTATGTTAGCCAATTTCAAAAGTGCCTACAGTGGAATTTATGGTGATTCCCAGTGTAATCCCGAAACCTTGGAGATGTTATGTAAAGAAACATGGCCAGCTCTTGGCATAGGGTGGTCAGAAGAAGGGTCAGTGGACCCAATAGTGATATCCATGGCACATCGGGTCATTACTCGGGAGGGCCATTGGGACCAGTTTCCATACATAGACCAGTGGCAGATTGCTCAAAAGGCAGCTCCCCCATGGCTTAAGAAATGTCAGCAGGAGTGTGTGAAAGTGTGCCTGATGAAAGAGAAAAATTAAACCCACAGAAAGATATCTAAAAACAAAGTTTTCAGTCAGGAGGAAGAAGAAGTTAGTCGCCCTCCCCCTTATGCTCCCTCTCATCCCATACCTCCAGGACAAAACCTTTCCCCACCACTGCCAGCAAATGAAACGCCAAAAACTATTCAACCTCAAAAGTGTCATTTGCAAGTCAAAAGAGAAGTCAAAAGTGAAGGGGAAGAAACAGATGGAGAATCTCAACCTATAAGCTCCAGAACTAGAAGTCAAACCAGTCTTAAGAAAGCAGAAACGCTGGCCCACTTAAGGGAGATGTTAACTCATGAAATGAATGGTCAAGGGCCCCCTGCCATTCGTTCATTGTTCCAGTACCAGCCGTTTACAACTACAGACCTGCTTAACTGGAAACAGCAATATGGGCCGTTTAGCCGAAAGCCATATGAAATTATAGACCTTTTTAACACCATTATGCAAACTCATAAACCCACCTGGGGAGATATTCAACAACTGTTAAATACCTTATTCTCCATGGAAGATAGAGAAAAATTCAAGATTGCTAAAGAAAAGGTATTAACTCGTATGTTTCCTGATATGAATCAGGCAGCTGACAAGACAAGAGCGAGGGCTGAGAATGACCCCCAGTGGAACGCAAACGATGCTCAGCATTTAACTCAATTACATGATTACCGCCTCTTGTGCTTAAACAGTTTAAGAGAAGCTGCAAAAGGTCCTGTTAATTACGCTAAGACTGCAACAATATTTCAAGAAAGAGATGAAAGTCCTGAAAGTTTTCTAACCAGATTAGTAGAATCTTATAAAATAAATACTGGAATACCCATAGAAGATCCAGCAAATAGATTCATGTTGAATGAACGTTTTATTAGCCAGAGTGCTCCAGACATTAGAAAAAAATTACAATGTTTGGACGGAGCACTAGGCAAGAATACAACAGAGCTTTTAGAAGTTGCTAGAAAGGTATATCTGAACAGAGAGAAAGAAGAGGAAAAAAGACAGGCTGCTAAAGAGAGAAAGAAGACAGAGATGTTAGCTCTGGCACTCGAGGGGGTCATTTTGGGACCCAATCAATGTGCAATTTGTAAAGAGGAGGGGCATTGGCAAAGACAATGTCCCCGTAGAAGAAGGGAATCCAGAGAAGAATCCTACGGGCGTGGGTCACAGATGATGAGAGGAAATCAGAGAGGTGTCTTTCGGGGACGAAACATGAGAGGAAATAGAGGAGATTGCAGAGGAAGAAGGGGGGCTGACAGGCAATTCATTCCACCCAGCCAGTCACACCGGAATGAGGAAGTAATCGGCCTGGCTGAAATGGAATGGGATGACTGAAGAGGCCAGGGCCCCACGGACCCACCCCCGGAGCCCATGATGGATTTATGGGTGGGAGGACGTCAAGTCCACATGATGATTGATACCGGAGCCAGCCGATCAGTAGTTAATAAACAAGTAGCCCCTTTGTCAAAGGAAAAAGTCAGAGTTCAAGGAGTGTCAGGCACCCCAGCCACACACAGCCTCCTGAAACCAGTTAAATGCAAGGTTGGGAATGGCCTAGTAGAACACCAATTCTTGTACATGCCTGAATGCCCAGTTCCTCTATTAGGAAGAGATCTACTTTTTAAATTAAGAGCCACCATGTCCTTCAATGAAAATGGACAGTATTTAACAGTGTCACATCCAGTGGAAGAAACTTGGCGATTAATGTTAATGCAAGATTCAACTCAGGAAAGTTTATGGAAAGAATTTAATGTTCCTACTCTGTGGGCAGAAGATAACCCCCCTGGGCTAGCAAAATTTGCCTCCCCAGTAGAAGTTAAACTGAAATTAGGATACAAGCCCATCAGAGTACCTCAGTATTATGTTCCTCAAGAAGCGGCAGAAGCCATTCAAGTTTTAATTGACAAATACTTAGCCGCTGGGATACTCAGACAAACTCAATCCCCATGGAATACAGCAATTTTGCCCATAAAAAAACCAGATGGGGGGTGGAGACCGGCGCAGGATCTTCGCCTAATAAACAGCGCCGTGGTCACGCTACACGCAATAGTGCTTAATCCCTGCATTTTGCTGGGGACCATCCCTCCTTCAGCCGCATGGTTTTCCGTCATAGACCTAAAAGACGCTTTCTTCACTATACCCTTACATCCTGATAGCCAAGACTTGTTTGCCTTTGAATGGAAAGACTCTAAATTGCGTAGACATTGCCAGTATACCTGGACCAGATTACCCCAAGGCTTTAAGAATTCTCCTACCCTTTTTGGGCACGCCTTGGCTCAGGACTTGCAATACTTCCAACCTGTTCAGGAAGGGGACTGTCTCCTTCAATATGTAGATGATGTGTTAGTAACAGGAACCACTCAGGAGAACTGTTTCAAAAATACCCAAACCCTCCTTGAATTACTGAAAGACTGTGGATACAGAGCTTCAAGAAAAAAGGCTCAATTAGTAAAGAAAGAGGTTACGTATTTGGGATACATGCTATCTCAAGGTCAGAGAAATTTAGGATTACTTAGGAAACAGGCAATCTTGCAGCTGCCCCCGCCGAAAAATCAAAAAGAACTGCGAGGCATTTTGGGAGTCATGGGCTTTTGTCGCTTGTGGATTCCTAATTTTGCCTTACTTGCCAAACCCCTGTATGCTTCAACCCGGGGAGCAGAAACAGACCCGTTTGAATGGGGCAAAGAACAAACAAATGCATTAGGTCATTTAAAAGAAGCACTTACATCCTCTCCAGCTTTAGGGTTGCCAGACCTTTCCAAATCCTTTCGTCTTTATGTGGATGTCCGTCAGAATGTGGCAATAGGGGTATTAACTCAACAGCAAGGATCATGGCAACGGCCAGTGGCTTACTTATCCAAACAATTGGACAGCCCGGCTCAAGGCTGGCCACACTGTCTTAAAATTTTGGCCGCTGTGGCAGAACTTATGAGAGACACAAACAAACTGACTTTTACCTCAGAAGTAGCAGTCTATACATCCCATGCGTTGCAAACAATCCTAGAAAACAAAGGACACTTGTGGATAAGTAACCAGAGATTGCATAAATATCAGGCTCTGCTGTTAGAAAACCCCCAGATAAGTCTTCACCAATGTGCTATGATCAATCCAGCTACCCTTATGCCAATTCCTGATGCATCCCTCCCGCTGCATAACTGTCTACATGTGTTAGATCATCAGTATCCCTGTAGACCAGATTTGACTGACACCCCTCTTCCAAATGCTCAGCTTACATGGTTTACTGATGGCTCAAGCTTTATGGAGAATGGAGCTCGTTATGCAGGATATGCTATAGTTAACCAACACGCAGTTATTGAAAGTGCCTCTCTTCCAGTGGGTACCAGTGCCCAAGCAGCTGAATTGTGGGGACTCATCTGAGCATTAGAATTAGCCACAGAAAAGACTATTAATGTGTACACAGACAGTAAATATGCCTTTTTGGCTATTCAAGCACATGCAGCTATTTACAAGGAAAGGGGCTTCACTGACTCTACCGGCAAACCAATTCAACATGCCCCTTTAATTAAAAGACTGATTTCTGCTGCACAACTTCCCAAATCCTTAGCTGTCATCCATTGTCCGGGGCATCAGAAAGCAGATATACTTGTTGCACAAGGCAATCGATTTGCTGATAGAGAGGCCAAATTGGCAGCACACCTGCCTCTGTATAGGAATGATTATTATCTCTATATGGCACAAGAAGTTGAATCCTACATTGAAAGATCTTATCCCACCTATACTCAGGTAGAGAAGGAGAAAGCTGAAGGAGATTTGAAAGCCAACTTGGTGAGGGGATGGTATACTCTTCCAGACAATCGCTTAGTGGTACCAGTTTCGCTTGCCTGGCCTTTAGTATCAGAGGCACACCAAACCTCACATAGTGGCAAAACTGCTTTGGCCCAACAGTTGCAAGCAACATTCTATATACCCAACTTGCAGAGTCTGGTTGCCAAGGCAACTTCCCAATGTCCTACGTGTGCACAAGTGAATGCTAAGCAAGGACCACGTTTACCACCAGGATAGCAGCCAATCTCCTACTTACCCATGGACTATTTAATGGTGGATTTTACTGACATGCCCAAATGCCATGGTTATAAAGCATTGCTCATTTTCATTGACACTTACTCTGGATGGATAGAGGCCTTCCCCACTCGAAATAAATTAGCTATACAAGTAGCACGCTTTCTTTTAAAGGAAATAATCCCTAGATTTGGATGTCCATCTACCATCAGCTCTGACAATGGCCCAGAATTTGTGCAACGTATAAATCGCCACTTGGCTGAAGCTGCAGGCCTGAAATGGAGGTATCATTGTTCATTTCGGCCTCAATCTTGCGGGAAATGTGAGAGGGCTAATCGCTCATTGAAAGCAATCATTACAAAACTGTGCTTAGAAACCCACTTGCCATGGCTTCAAGTTTTCCCCATGGCCTTGTACATTTTCAGAACAGCTCCTCGAACCAAATACCAGCTGTCTCCTTTCGAACTTCTGTATGGGAGACCCCCTGCCTTGTTCAAGCATCATTTTCAAGGCTGGCCAGATTTAGTGCAAAAAGGGGGGGTAGAAGCAAGAAAATTACTTTTGCAGTTACAACAGCACAACAATCATGTCAACAAACTGAGGCATTATATGCAGGAATGCAGACCCCCTCCTATTACCACTGCAGGTCACAACTACAAACCAGGAGATAGAGTATGGATAAAACATTGGAAAAATGAACCTTTAAAACCTAGATGGAAAGGGCCATATACTGTTGTGATGTGTTCGCCTCTTGCAGTTAAGACCCTGGAAGGACGGTCCTGGATCCACTGGACGAGACTGAAGCCCGCAGACCAAAGTGATCCAGCCACATACCAGGTGACAACAACTGACCGGCCCTTGGTGTTGAGGTTCAAGAAGACATCCTGCTGAGCCCTACCGGTAACGGGCACTCAACGCGCGGTGGTGATCGTCAAGCTTTGCTGAACCACCCCGGAAGCTGGTTCTCTACGCACAGCCGAAGCTTGGAACGGAGAAAGACAACATTCCACAATTGTAAATTTTAATGTAACACCCATTAACAGTGATAGTATTCAGCAAGCATTTATCAAAAACACACACACTCATGGTTTGGGAAGATTGGGTGTGGGGACTCTGGGCCATCACTGGTTTAGTACTTCTGGGAGTATTGTTTTATATGTACAAGGACTTGCTCTGTGGGAAACCCAGGGATCCACCTGAAATTGACCTCACCCAAGTTACATACACTTCTACAGATCTTCCGGACTTGGTGAACGTGTAAAATTCAGGTCTTGCGCTCTTAAAGGCCCTGTGGGTGTGGGAATAAAGTCATGATGATTTATTTGGGGTTGTGGGTACTATTAGCCAAGGGTCTAGTGAGTGATGCTAACTTGAACAGTAGTTCCCCATGTTGTGTGGATGTTCAAGAAATTCCTCTTGTCCCTGTAGAAGGAATTGAAGATGTCAAAAATCCCAGGGGAAACAACAGCATCACAACACTGAATGGGGGCCCTTTGGATAAAGTCCGCTCCCGCCAACAGCGTGGTATCATAAGGTGGGGAGGGAGCCTTAGACCCAAACCCACTCCTAAACCTAAAGTCAAGAGTCTAACAATCCCAGTACCGGGGGGAATAGAAAAGGAGAATGGGCCCATGCAACAACTGAGAAGGGGAGACTACATATCAAAGATACTGGAAGTGGGTCAAGACCTTGTTAATCAGTATGACCCTAACCTTGGTGAAAAATGCTGGTTGTGTTTATCTGCCAGCCCCTCATCTTATCATGCAGTTCCTGTCAAACCACAACTCTGGGCAAGGACAAAAGCTACAATAGTCCTTGAAAAAGATAGTAGGAATAAAGCACCAGTGTCTCCAATACAAGGAGATTTTTTTAAGGCATTCCAACGGCTAGGAAAAAGCCGCCTCCCTATTGCTGGCCCGATAGCCACGGGTGTGGAACTCATAGGGACACCTTCACTGTGTGCAAAGAGATATCAGAAACCTGGTAGGGCTGTAGGATCCCTCACAGAAGAACAATGTCCATCAGAAATTTCCTTTGGGCCTAAAACAGACCTTATGGATGTAAAACTAACCAAAGATCTTTTTCTTCTGCACATCACTCATCTCGTCATAAGGTCTCTTTCTCCCCACCACCAACTGCCTTCATCACAAGATGGGGAGGATGGAAGGGATCCGGAAATGCCTCCCTGGAAAGGTGCCCCAGTCCATTTCAACCCCCTCGTTTCCCTCTCTGGCTCTCCATTAGATCCAGCACTGGCATGTGTGTCCTCTTTCCCCCTGGGAATAATACCAGAAGGCCCAATCATCAGAGATAAGCAAAGGGACCCTTCCCTAGAAGTCCCATTACAGCCTCTGGCCGGAATGTTTGTAGCAGGGACTTTGGGAGTCTGGACTAATATAAAGGACCAACGAGCCCATGCTTTCTCCATGAACATAGGTGTGTGTGTAGGGGAAAAGGGAGTTTTCTTTTATTGTGGGACAAGTGCGTACTTATGTTTACCAACAAATTGGACTGGAACATGCACACTAGTACACCTTTTTCCTAAAATAGGTGTTGTCAGTGGAGAACACACCATCCCTGTTCCTCTCGTGGGACATGTTCAAAAACGGGTACCCATCCTAATCCCACTATTAGTAGTCATGGGAATAGGAACTGCAGTGGGTACAGGGATAGGTGGTGGTGACGTCCGGCGGTGACGTCAGCGTGTAAGGAACGAGGGGAATGAGGCTCCGTCCCCGAAGTTCCAATTTTCTTGATTGGAAGCCGTTTTTTGCACTATCGACCATGGAGAGGTCGATAGAAAAAGGAGGACTCTCTAGGACCTCGGTGCGACAGCAATCACCCTGAAGGTTCAGAGGAAACCCTCCTAATTCCAGCCAGGAAAAAAACCAGCCATTTTGGCTGGCCGGAGCGCTGTCAACTGATAAGTATAGAAGCGAAGATTCAAGAGAAACATCGGTAAAGACTAAGTAGATCGAAATATAAAGGTATAATCATAAGGACTTAAATACATTGGCGAGAATAGGACTCCAAAAAGCGGCGGCAAGATCGTCAAGCAAGCGGCGAGAGAAAGTGATCGGAGCGAAGCTTAATACACACAGTGACAACGCAGATTTGACAGGCGAAAGAAACGAGTGACAGACAAAGAGGATTATAAGTAAGCGGTGGATTATAACCTTAAAATAATACAATTTGACTTAACAGAGGGAAAAAAGGATTATTTAAGAGAAAGATTGTAGAAAGTGAACCTAAAGAACTGAGACTTTTTAAGATCGTTGTGAGCGGAAGGAAACTAACTGAACAGTAGCGAATGGCGGACTGAGGATTTGGAGAAGAAAACTTTCACTTTGTGTCCAGCGACAACTATAAATTCAACTACAGACACGAGACTCGTAGTGAGACATTAGATACATTGACGCTGTTGGCAAAGGAGATACAACTTGCTACACAGGAATATTGGAACAATTGATTTACTTACGGATTTAATAGAGGTTATTGAAATAGAACTGTGACAGCTGGGTGAAAAGAAGGCGAACTGAAGAACGAAGGAAGAAGGAAAGGAGAAGGAAGCAACCCCAATTGGTCTGAGAGTGATAGAGTTGAGAACTTTAAATATTAAATTATTAAATTTCATCTATTTTAAAAAACTTACTTAACTTTGCTTAAAGAACATTAATATCAAATTTGAAATTATTATAATATACATTAAGGAATTGATTTAATATTATTTTTTTTCTTTTATTGTCTTACTGTTTCCTACCCTATTGAAACAACTATATAGATTGCAAAATAATATATTGATTAAGTGGAATTATACTGCATATTGACTAGAAAGTTAGATATTAATATAGACATTGCATAGAGATTGTTATAGATATCATTAAGGAATAATAATTGTGATAATTAATATAGGTAGCATGTATTGGTAACTGTGATATAACTCAATAGAATACTTTAGATGATTTATAGAGAACTTTAAATCCCATTGATCTATTATATAAAGGTTATATAGAGATTGTTTAATTTTAAAGTGAATTTAAGTATTGTGATTATTTGGTATCTAAGTATTAATTGCACTATATTGTTTAGGGACAAGAATAGAAGAATGAATTGTTAAAATACTGTATTTTCCCCCTAACTCCTCCGAATTAATTAACCCGATCCTTATATAACGATATTTCATCCACCCCCAACTAATTAGTATATGAAAATTTGGGGAAAAATAATACAAAAGACAACGATGGCAACATCTTCACTAACAATAACTAAATCAGGGAAAAAATTAACAACAAACCCAATACCTACACAATCTTCACTTGCACAACAAAAAACCATAGACACGATGTTAACTACAGACAAAGAAAAAGCTGCCACTGCACACAACATACAGAATATACAGTCTATATTAGCTATGATTCAGGAGGGGATGAACAAAACCCAAGAAACAATTGCGAATAATCACGAAGAAACAAAAAAGAACCATGAGGAATTGAAATCAGAAGTAGGACAAATAAATGATAATATTAAAAAAATGGACGATAAGATCGAGAGAATACAACAAAACATAGTCAAAAACGAAGAACGAATCCAAAACATGGAAGCCAAAATGGTCCTAACGGAGAAAAAGATGGACAATATCGAACAAAATCAAATGGAGTTAAACAGAGAACTCGAAGAGTCAATTACCCATTTAGAATTAGAAAAAGCATCATTCTTTTTACGATTTCAAAATATTGCAGAAACAAAAGGAGAAGATCTAAGAGACCTGATGACAGATATATTAGTAGAGGCTACCCAGAAGGGAAAAAGCGATATTAGTAGGGAAATTGACGAAATATATAGAGTTCATACGAACTATGCTCGTAGGAACAAACTACCTAAAGAAATACATGTTAGATTCACACGTAAAACTGTAAAAGAAAAGATTTACACGTCCATGAGAGAGGGAAAACCCTGCTACCAAGGGAAAGAAATAATAACCCTAAAACAAGTTCCAAGAAGAATAAGAGAATACAGAAAAAACTATAATTTTTTGACAACCCTACTGAACCAACACAAAATAATGTTCCGCTGGCTGGTGCCGGAGGGAATCCTAATATCTTGGGACGACAAAAAATATAAAATCGATACGATAGAGAAGGCACAAGAATTCTTTGACACTCACTTTATAATAGAAGAGGAACAGGAAACTAGACGTGATTCAGATAATGCAAACCAGGAACACTCCATGGGGGAAACAAAAAAAGGAAAGGAAGAGAAGGAGTCTAGGGAAAGGGAGAAGATGGAGAGAGAAGGGGCTAGGGGGAAAACACATATGGTAACAAGAAACACAAGTAAACTTAAACTAATAAAGAAAAACTAAAGGAAATGGGACGAGAGTTGAAATTAATTTCAATTAATATAAACGGCCTTAATCTACCAACCAAAAGAACACACACTTTCAGAAAACTTCAAAAATTAGATATAGATATTATTAACCTACAAGAAGTACATATCAAAAAACAACATCAACAGTTACTAGAAAACAGAAAACTTGGAACATTATTCACCTCACTATCAGATCAAAGAAAAAGAGGTATCGCAATATACATTAAAAGCCATATCCAGGCAAAACAAATTTACACAGATGAAGATGGCAGGATACTAATGATAGATATTAAGATGGAGACCCGAAATATGTTATTGATATCAATATATGCCCCGAACGGGAGCCAAAAAGAATACTTTAAAAAGATACATGACAAAATTAAAGAATTAGACTACGAACATCTATGTATAATAGGGGATTACAATGCAATCGTTGACATGGACTATGACTACCAAAGCAACAAAAAAAATAACTCTAGGAAAAAGACACTACCTGATTCTTTTAAGAACATGATTCAAGAGTTACAATTGAAAGATGCCTGGAGAGAACTGAATAAAACTAAAAAACAGTACACCTATTACTCAAATCCCCATCAATCCTGGTCCAGACTAGACATGGCCTGGATGACTGCAGAATTAAGAGAAAATATAAAAGAAATTGAAATCACACCGAATGTAT